TTATTTATTACTAAAAAGGTAAACAGTCTGGTATTCCCACACATTTATCTAGTAGGGACGTTGGTGGGGGGAGGGAGGGAGGGACCGGCGACCGACCATCTGTTACCGTGTGAAGAATATATTTTTTTTTTATTAACTGAAGATTTTTATTTTAGCTCATAAAATTCATACAAATTACCCGGCCAGAATATAATTTACATTGCTGGAATTCTTACAATTTGATGATCATTTTGAATATAAACATCATATATTTTGCATTAGACATAAAATTTTTAGATATAATGTTCACTCTGAGTAAATATGTTATCTTTTGTGCAAAATATATGACATTTATATTCAAAATATTCCTGGTCTTACAAGGAATCCAGCAATGTCAATTATATTATCCTAACTTTAGTTTGAGGTATTATTTATTACTATACCTGGTTTTCCCCCAAAAATTTCTCAGAGAGGGAAGAGCCAGCAGTGTAGTGTGAGAAGAGGGGGAGGGAGTTGAGTCCATTATTTGAATGGACATTAACTTGGCGACTGTATTTCTCTATTTCTCTTAAGTATTAATTGTGTGCATGTACCATCATAAAATTAAGATGTTATTTTTACTAGAACATAGGTATTGTGTTGGAAAAAGTGGAGTTTGGGGGTCAGCTGGTCTCTATTTCATTTAATCCCATATGTTATGTTATTCACTTTACGCGTTTCTCACTTTCCGCGGTACCCTGTGGGTTACATTAACCGCGTAAAGTGAGGTATGACTGCTGGTAATAAATACACCCACCTCTCGTTTTACGTGGGGGTTACGTTCTTGAAAATCACGCTTAATTCAAAAACGCGTAAATTAAACATAATCTTCCCATAAGAATGGTAAATGGTACAGGTTAGGGGAACCATCATATACCATACAGGGTACGAACAATAAATATTCTCTTACCTTACTCATTAATAAAGAAAAAACAGTTGATAAAGGAAAAACAAGAGTAAATACATCTTAAATAACACTTACATTGATGACTGGCAACTTTTGCTTGACAAAGGTGGCATAATGGAGAGTTGAGGGGGGGAGGCTACTGAGGTGGAGGCGAGGGTACGAGCGAGTCGGTGGTTGAGGTAGGCTGTGGTCTGGAGATGCCAGATGTCTATGGCTGAGATGCGTTGCTGCCAGATTTCATGAAATATGAGAGCAATGTCTTTTGGGTGGTTTTCATTTTCTTTTCTTGCAGGATTTCTTTGTAGCACTGCATAGCCGAATGCACATTTCTACTCACTTTTGAGCTACGATCATTATTTATATCGTCTTCGTCTATAATAGCCAAACCACGCTCAATTAAAGTGAATGCCTCTGTCAACTGCTTTGCTGCTAGAGTTCAAACGACCTCAGGCCCCTCTTTCTTCTCCACTCCCTCATCTCCCCGCTCTTTTTCTAAGTCAAGCAAATCTTGGAGCGAAAGTTCTTCTTAATGTGAGTCTAACCCTTGCACGTCATCTAACTCCACCTCTTCAAGACCTACTTTCTTTGCCAAACTCTCAATGTTTTCTCTGGTTTAACAGATCACTTTCAACACTAAAACCTCTCAAGTCATGCACAAGATGCGGACACATTTTTTACAAACTCCATTCATACATGAATGACTAACTTTGTCCCATGCCTCACCAACAAACATTATAGAGTCTCTAATGTTAAAAGATTTCCAGAATTCTTTAACAGCCATTTTACCATCATCAGTAGCCTTCACTACAGCATCAAATGTTTTGTTGAGATAATAAGCCTTAAATATACTGATCACTCCTTGATTCATAGGCTGAATGAGGGATGTCGTATTTGGTGGAAGATAGACAACTTGAATGTTTTCACAAAGATCTTGAATTGAAGGTGGATGTCCGGGGGCGTTATCCACAAACATTAATATTAAAAAAAAAAGATTTTCACGTTCACAATATTCATGTAAGTCATCTTTCAGCTTTGACACAACATAGTCACAGAAAAGACTACCAGTAATCCACCCCTTGTTATTTGAAAAGTAGTGAACTGGTAAGAGATGTTTAGAATAACCCTTGAGAGCACGTGGGTTTGCAGAGTGGTACACCACTACTGGTTTTAATTTGCAGTCACTTTCAGCATTACCTCCAAACAATAAGGTACTGTATAATGATCCTTAGCGGCCTTGAAACGTGGTGCTGATTTTTCCTCGCGAGAGATATACGTTCGTGCTGGCATTCTCTTCCAAAATAGAGTAGTTTCATCCGGATTGAAAATCTGCTTTGCAGAGTAGCCTCCCTCCTCAATAATACCCTTCAGAGTTCTGATGAATTCCTCGGCAGCCACAGCATCGGCAGATGCAGCCTCCCCACTCATCTTGATATTGTGATACCCGTATCTTCGCCTGAAGTTAGCGAACCAACCAGAACTAGCACTGAAAGGTTTCACTGGGCCTTCTTCATCCTTCTGTAGCTCTTCATGGATTGCACGCACTTTTGCCTGGGCTAGCAATATGCTGACTGGTACGTCGCGCTGATTTTGATCTTCAATCCACATACTCCGCATCCTTTCCATGTGCTCCATTATAGAACTCGGAGCATAAGAGGTTTTTGTTGTACTTTCAGATGCCCCTGATTGAGCACTGTTCTTTATCTTCTCAGCGTTGTCTCGAATGGTACGAACAGTGCTCTCACTTAAACCAAGCACGCGGCCAACCTCTCACACACGCCCTCCTCTCTGAAGGCGTTTGATCACATCTAATTTCACGTCCATTGCGATTATTTTTCTTGCCTTTTTAGCTTTAGATGCCCCAGAGGAGGCAGATGGATGTTTTCCAGACATTCTCAATGGGCAAAACAGCATTTAACAATAAAAAGGTACTGTACCTGATAAACACACAATGCAAATGAGCGCACAGAGAAAAAAAGTAGTGCTGGTGTGAACTGAGAAAGCGATATGCGGGAAGCTTGCTGGACGTCATCACAGTTGTTGTACAGAATACTTCATTATCATCATTATCTTCATCATTAGTAGTAATAATCTTTATTATTACATTATTATAATAATTATTATTAATAATAATAATATTAAAATTGTTGATATGACTGACTTTATAGTAATAATTTACCAGCACCTCACCAGGCATTACACGCGACTCCACTGCCAGGCGACCAGGTGAATACACATGGCAAATTTAAACTGTCTTGACCTTGTTATTTCAAAAATAGGTGCGTGTAAATTAGCTTTTGGTGTTAATTGAACAATCGAGTTATTCCAAAAACGCTTAAATCAGACGCACGTAAAACACGAGTTACCTTTACTGTATATCCAACTTGAAACTTGAAAGGAAAATTAGCAAGAAATGGTTTTAATACAATTAATAATTATACTTTATTAGTTGATTTCATGATAAAAATATTTTGCCAAATGAATAGCCATTACTTGAAATGAACAATGTCCTCCTTTTTCCTGTAAAAAGTAGAGCAGAGGGCTAAGGGGGGGCCAGGGTCCTAGATGTCTTGATGCAGCCCTGCCCGTACAGTACAGTACTGTATGTACTGTACCTTGCATGTTGATGGGAATACATGTGATACTCTCAGTTGCAGCTGAGTGTAATTGGAGTAAGTTTTGGCCCCTTTTAGACTGAAAAATGTTACTTATAGCAACAATTTATCTTGTTAATTTTCTGTTTTCTTTGATTTATACTTTACCTTTTACTTTTATCCTCTTCACCACTGATTGGCTCGTTAGCCGCTTGGGCGATCGGTCACGTGATTTATGTCATTCATTATTTATCATTAATTTTATCCATTCATTGTAGTTGTATGAGGTTCAGGTCAGGTCAGGTCAGGTCATTAGCAGGGATCAGCTGTGACATCATTGAGGCTGTAGGAAACACCTGGGCTCTCTTAGGTCAGGTCATGTAGGAACAGAAAAGTCAGATCAGGTCAGCTGTGATGTCACAATTTGTCAGTGTGTCTGTGTAAAGAAGATATTCCGAAACCAGGTCTGTTGCTTTGAAGCTGAAGCCTTAAAGTTTTTTGAAGCCAAACCTAAAGCCAAGACAAAACAAAAGTGGCTTCGAGAAGCCAAAATTGGCTTCAGCCCCATGTTTGGTGACCAGACAATTAACCACTTCTTTCTAGTGTTCTAACAAATAACAAAGTTTTACATCAATTTTTGTATTATTAGTTTGGTGATTTTGTCCTGGATGATGTTTCATACCTGAACACGTTTACATAAATAAGATATAGCTAACAACCAAATCATAACCTTACCAGTCATAACCTAACCTAACCTTAATCACGTGTTTACACAATGGTCACAACGTGACTGGTGCGGAGAATGATCAAGAGTTCGGGGGGCTGGGACAATACCATCTTCAGTCGATCACTTTCCTCGCTGACAAAACTTCTCAAACTTGGATATTGAAAAAATTTTTTTTTTAGCCTTTCCACAAAAAACGACTACAGTATATTACATTTCATTAAGCATCACATATTGAGCAAAATGAGACCAAAATTGTTAGCCAAACTAGCAACAGTCAAGACTCAAATATTAGCCATATATTTATTTATTATTGTGCTTTAGGGCTGAAAAATATTAGTTTGAAATGTGTCAATTTATAACATGGTATGGGAAAATGGTTTTTATTTAATATACTGCAATACTGTACATATTTTTTTTTAGCATCTACTGTATTACATTAAGTGCCAAATATCAAGTACAGTAAATGTTGGTACTGTACCATTAAACGCAAATACACCGGGAACATAATTCTCACCAGAATCCGTTCCCAATGACTAAGTGGCTAATGCAATCTTCAGGGATGCCCTCCAATTCCTGCCAACCAGATCATAAAATGTACTGTGGCTGCTTGTTTCCCAACTCATCATTACTACAATTCATTGATGAATCACTAAAAGAATCACCCCCAGTACCTGCTATGTCAGTTTCATAAAGGCGTTATTTATTTCGGGGTACAAGAGTTATTTCAACTGTATGATGGTCCATTTGTCTTGTTCAGCCGATGGTTGTTTGTGGCGCCGACCATACCTGCTCGCTTGTGACCAAGGGTAGCTCCCAGCCTCACAATGTAAGTAACTCCTTTGGGACTGTATTGTTAACCAGTTCAGTATCTGGTGTGTGGAGTAAGAATATTCAGTTTGATACTTAACATTTGGGTTATAGGAAGTTCTATTAAGGACGTTTTGTAAGGTGATATGAATTTTTCTTAGGGGTAGTGGACCTGCACATACAGTATTACAGTATTTGCTATTCACTAGGTATTTTGTGCTTCTCTGTGCTTCAGTGTGGAAAGTAGGGAAGTACTTCAGGAATTTTTGCTCATTCAGAAGGGAGTGGATTATTTTGACAAAAACAATGAGAATTAATTGGTTTATGGAGGAAAAAAAGTGAAATCCAGGTAAACTTAATTGAACTAGGTGCACAAGTACTGTAACAATGTGTGTAAAGTTAATCCACAAAAATAAGTTACACTGTCCTACAGGAATATGTATTTAAACTGGCAGACCATAAGGCATAGGACTTACCCTGAGGCCCTTATATCAAATGGGCTTTCGGAGGGAAAAGTTATTGGTTATAGTAGTAGCCTTAATGAATACTGGTAGTCCTTCAGTGGTTGGTCTAAAGTGTTTATATTCCCTACCCTTTTTAGAGTAAGTTGACTTTTTCTCATTTTTGGTACAATATATTATACTGTATGAGTCAGAAAGGGTTAGGGGATGATAATCTTCTCTGCTTCTGCAGTGTTGCCTTTTTATCATGGACTTAATGAAGCCTGTACTGTACTTATATCAATGCTTAGGACTGACTTTACAAACTTCTTGGTAGGACTCTTTAAAGATCCTTGTTGTAGACTGATTGATATTGGAGGCATTTCCAAGATTATGTATTTTAATGTAGTTAAAGGTGAATTCTAGGAATAATAACCTGTCCTCATTCTTTAAGAACTTGTATGTGTACATTATCCAGACTAATTTTATTTACTTTTTATGTTGATTTGTTATCTAAGGCATTTAAGGATTTATCAAGGACCTGCACAAGACCTGGTTTGCAGAATGTGTTCTCATTATCTTTACAGTCAAGTGGGAACATGTTTAGGAGAGAACTGGAGTTGGCTTCCATCAAAGTATTGGTCTGGTTAGGCCTGGGATCACTTGCACACACACACACACACACACAGAATATTGACCCAGTTATATACAGTAATTTGTGTTGAGTTATTGATTTTAACATTTATCTTGTAAAGCGTAGTGTAATTTACTTGTTCCACCTTATATGTATAGAAATTGAATATGGTAATGAAGTTCTACCAGTATTTCATTAGAATTATTAGGTTATTCCATTCTAGTCTATACTCCTTTCAAGTGTTTCATAATTGCATGTAGCATGTAGAGTACATTTTGGTTTATAGTCTCAACAGTGTAGGTAACTTCAAATGTTATATTCCAGGGTACAGTGTCCAAATGGACCAACTATATACATGGCTGGCAGAACCGGTACATGGTGCTGAAGGATGGCACCATGAGCTACTACAGGAACCATGATGAGACAGCATTTGGCTGTCGAGGATCTATAAGTGTTCACAAAGCTCATGTTAAGGTAAGCCATCTGTTGTAATTAGAAAACCTTTACAGAATATAAACTCACATTATTTAGTTGGACTCTTGTATCTACAGGATTATTTCTCATAGATATCCTATAAGGTATGAATTTTTTGGCCAGATGAGAACATATCAGAAATTGATGTGTGCACTGGATACATTTAACAATATATTTTTGTCATCTTTGGTATTTTTTTTACAGTATCAATTCCCTTAATTCCTTGAACCCTCTCGTGCATGAGAAGTTTTAAATTTTCCAGTTCCAAGATCACATCTCTGAGGTCCCCAGGGCAGGCGAGACAGTGCACGGTGAATATTTTCTTTGCTTTATCAATTTCCCCCAGAACTTGTTTTTATTGGCATAAGTCATATATCTTTAGCTTCATAACTGATTGCTCTGCAACATTAGCCAAAAAAGAAAAAGAAAGAATAATACAAGTACGTATATAGCTATTTTTCATCACTTCTAATAAACATGAGAAAAGAAATACACACCAATACATTCACAACCGCCAACTGTGTAAGTACTATACACTGCTAGAAGCAGAATTTTTTGAGCTTTCCAATGCAGTAATCAGATTTCTGATATGACAAACAGTTTTTGAGAAAATAGCAAACAACTGATTCTCAAATGGCAATTTTTTTTTTTTTATTATTTTTGTGCCAATGTTTAATGTCGATATAAATTATATTGCATCTTGTAGCCAACACAATAACTAAGAGATTGGCACTGATAAAATTCATGCAAGTCTTCAGAGTTTTTTGCAATTTTTTTTATACATGCTGGCGGGCGTTTGACCGCATCGCATGATTGTCATATAGTAAAAGAAAGTAACACAATATCTAATACAGGTTGTACCTCTCTAGTCCGGAAACTCCCGTGGTCCGGAATGATTTTAGTTTGTCCAATAGGTAGATAGGCAGCTTTTTTTTTTTTTTTACTTATCTGAATTATTATTACAGGAGTATTAAATTTTTGCCCCTCAGGCCCCAATGTGGGTCAGTGACCTATGCCCGGGTGGGCTAATCCCCTTAAAAAAAAAAAGCCGCGGGAAATTAAGGTTTGTTTACATCCGGCAGTTCGGCTGCTCTCTCTCTCTCTCTGCTTGTCTATACAGAGTACAACATTTAACCCTTCAATATATATGAGCAGTAAATAAGTGTTGCTTTCATATTCTTATGTAGAGTAATGACGATATGTTTTCACATGTGCGCACTTACATACGCGCAGTCTCACTTTTTTTTTTACCATTAATGGTTAGCTACTTATATTGTTCCATTTATTAGCATTAAATAACATTACAGGTACTTCAAACAACCATATTAATTTTTTTACATTAATTTTACTACAGCTAAAATCAGGGTCTTATTTTCTTCAGTTTTATATGTAGAACCAATCAGTCACTGGTTTTGTAAGCTTTAACATAAACAATGCCGGCAGCCGTCTCGTCTCCTCTAATATTCCACGTATTATTAATAAATTGTATTGTTAATTTTGCACACACAAACATTAATTCAATAAAAACAAATTCAGAAACATTAATTAAAATATATATGAACAGTAAATAAGTGTTGCTTTCATATTCTTATGTAAAGTAATGACGATATGTTTTCACGTGTGCGCATGCGCACTTACATATGCGATCTCTCTTTTTTCTTTACCATTATCGTTAGCTACTTCTATTGTTCCATTTATTAACATTAAATAACATTACTTAAAACAACCATATTAATTTTACTACAGCTACAACCAAGGTCTTATTTTCTTCAATTTTATATGTAGAACCAGTCAGTCACTGGTTTTGTAATCAACGAAAACAATGCTGTGTCATTTCCTCGTGTGTTTTAATATTCGACGTATTATTAATGAATTGTATTGCTCATTTTGCACACATAAACATTAATTCAATAAAAAAGACATTCAGTAATAAACAATAATGAATCTTTTGTACATAAGAGAAATGGCGCTGTTTACACGATTATGCACGTCGTCTGCACGTTGGCGGGCCGTTCAAACCCGTCGAAATTCAAGTTTCCGCTGTCAAAATTTTTATTTATTTATTTTTTTGTGTGTTCCGATAAAATACGTTAAGAATTAAAAACTCGCGAAATTTGAGAAGCTACTATACGACATTTAACCCTTCAATATGTCTTCAAAGAGACCATGACGCAGAGAAAGTGGTGCTAGTGCTTCCAGGCATAAGCACAAGTCACTATCTATCCAGGAAAAGGGTGAATTTCCATGGTCCGGCAGTTTCCATGGTCCGGCACCGGTCAGGTCCCGAGGTTGCCGGACTAGAGAGGTACAACCTGTATTTTGTTTGTATATATCATGGAACATGCTTATTTTTTTCTTATTTTAGTAATACATATACTATTGAAACCCCAGTTGCTGGTGCATTAGAGATAAATTCCTTTGGCAAGTATTAAGGGGAGCGTCTGGCATAGATCGATGAAAAAAAAAAATAAGAATAATTAAAATAAAATAAAATATGAAAAAAAAATCCCGAGCAACAATGTTGCATATGGCTGTACCTGGATGGAGTTTTATGGTAATATTCGTAATATTTATGCAGTTATGTATGGTTCCTTCCCCCCCCCTCGCCCCACCTTCCTACATCCCCTTGGGTAGACATGAATGATTGTGGTAAAAAATTTCCCCCAAAATTATGGAATAAATGGCACAAAAAAATTTAGAAATTCATTTCAGGCAACTCTCTTCCTCTCTGGTAAGTGTAGGGAGGTGGACACAGTGTTATCAGTGAGTCTCGGACCTTGTCAAGGAGAGGTGTGTACTCTGCTGGTGCAGTAGAGTACTGCTGTACTGCTGTACCAGGCTTCTCTCCTCGAATATCAGGATGGCATGTGATTCAAAACATAAAAGACAACAAACGGAAGCACGTGCCAAGGGCATTGCTAAATCCAAGAGGATGAAAGAAGAAAATAACCACTAAAACTGAAGACAGTAACAGCCGTCTCAGTGGGCACCTGAGGCAACCCAGCCCCAGCCTTCCACCCCTCCCCTCTACCTCACATAAAGAATATAACTGGAGTTCAGTTGGAGATGTAAAAATACAAAAACAAACAAACAAGATATTACATGTAAAATTGGCTCAGAATGATCACTTACACAGGGGAGAAAGGTTGAGAAACTTTATTGGCCTGTATCTTAAAATGAACTTTTCTAACACTCAGACTGACAGTTCTCTGCCAGTTTGTGACCAATTTTAGCGAAACAAACACTCAGCACAGGAAGAACCTTTCCTCAACACAACTACAGATTCCAATATTTTCTATCTTGTGATATTTATTTTTGGTTGAATATTTTATCTTGATATTTTGATACAAAATTTCAACCAAACTTGAAATTTTTATTCTTAAAACCAAAGACAAAAACAAACAAATGGCCCTGGACAATTCAGTGGCGATACAAGATCTCTTAGAACTACAGGTATCAATTTTAAGGCAAAATAGAAAGAAGTAATGGAGAAATTATACCTTGAAAATTTAGACAAATGTGAGAAAATGTGTAGAGGGTTGAAAATTTTGAAAGGGTAGAAGGGAGCTATGGGGCTAGAATTGATGTACATATGATCCTTGATTGATGACAAGAATATATCATAATAATCGACCAAAATTAAAAGCACCTACACCTTAAACCGGACTCTCCTGTTAAATGTTGAGAGGTAGTGGGTGGTATGAGGCTTGCATAAGGCAGGAGATATGAAGGAGGTGTTTGGGATGTGGAAGGTTGTGGTGAAGAAGAGTGAGGGTGGTACGTTGTTGGTGCGGTGGTGGTGGTAGAGGGAGTCTGGTGGTGAGGCACTTGATAACGTGGATGCAACAAACACAATTTCTCCCTCAGACTCGTGACTTTCGTTGTTGTTATCACGATCATTTTCACTGTCAGGCTCTTTATTATCACTATCCACTTGATCCTCACTATCCCTAAACAGGAGTTCTAGAAAATCATCCTCTTTCAGAGACTTTTTCCCAGACATTGTCACTATAACGAGGTTGTATAGCCTGATACGGTAATGACTTGAAACCGAAACATTTTCTCTGTAAATATGAAAAAAATATTACATTACACAACCATCACTTCACTTATCTAACACAAAAAAGAAATTATTTCAAGTAGTAGGGTAAGCACTGTAATCCAGGAGTTAAGGCAGCCCGCACAGAGTTATGGAAATTTAAGTGGACACGGGCCACACTCACGGTCTGACTGCTGAGATAATACTGTGCATTTATCATTATGGTCCCTTCCTATGGGCCTCGAGAGTTGCTTTTTAAAGTTTGGTGACTCGATTTGTGTCACTGGCGAAGTTGGTCTTATCATGAGTATGACACGAATCGCGTTGGCATGCGAGAGAGGGTTAATACAGTTAAAGTTAATTATTGATATTATTGATACCGTACTGCTCACATTATTGACTCATCTGTACAGATACTCTAGAAACGTAGTTATGTATTTATACAAAAGAGTTTAAGGAACTTCACTTTCATGTACAGTACACTTGCATATATCACTTTTCTTTTTTTTTCCCATTCCCAAAGCTGTTGATGGCACATCCTGAAATCTTCTTTGCCATGCTTTACTCTGTTTCTTGTTCATACTTTACTGATGGTAATCTTATGAAACATAAATAAAAAGTTTTGTGAGTGCAGTAACAGATACTCTTTTTATTTTATTTGCATTTTCAGCCTCACGAGATAGATGAATGCCGATTTGACGTTTGTTTGAATGACTGTGTGTGGTACCTGCGGACTAACACAGAAGAGGAGAAGCACCAGTGGGTTGATGCTATTGAGCAGCACAAGGTAAGAAGGCCTCTTGCATATATTGATTCACTTTTGAGTAGCTAATTCAACTACAGTGGGGTATGCTATAACGAATCTAATTGGTTCTAGAACCTTGTTCGTTATAGGATTAATCTGTTCCAGGCCCCCAAATACAACCACTTAACACTGAAAAATATAATATAAAATTGTAAAAATTGTAAAAAAGTGCATAAATATGCATCTAAACCCCTGAAATAAAGAATATCATTAATATTTGTAATAAAAAACAATAAATTAGAAAAAAAAAAAATTAAATGATGTTCGTTGTAGGAGTTTCGTTCGTTATAGCATTCTCAATTTTATAGGTAAAACCGTTCGTTATAGGAATATTCGTAGTAGGATCCGTTCGTTATAGCATACCCCACTGTATATGTATATATTTTTAGACGTTCCTTTCAAAGCCTCCTTCACACACCCAAGACAATCACTGTTTGAAACTCACTGCATTGACTACTAAATCAGCACAGGCGATCGAGTGTTCTCTAAATATTTTTGGTTAGGACTTGCAGTACAGTAGTTTCTTTTGGTCATTATCAGATCAGTGTTGTCCAGAAGTAACCCTTGATAACTTGGAATATATGGGGCTCTAACCATTCCAAGTTATCTAATTTTACGAGTTATCAAGGCACTTTTATCCCACCCTAATACCCAACTTTTTGGTCAAAATAACCCACCATAATCAGAAAACTTAAAAAAAAATTACACTTAACAGCACTGGAGGAGAGGAATGGGGATAATTCAAGCTTGTGGTGCCATTTGGCTAGTGTCAGAGGTGGTGATGGGGTTCACTGCACAACAGTACAGTATATAGTACAATATAATTCTGTATTGTAAGCTCTTACAGCATCAGATTTAATTGTTATTATTCACTTAAATACTACTGTACAGTAGCTAAAACAACTATCTGTGCATCCTTTGTGGGAAACAGTATGAGACCTTGGACGATAAATTTTGGCCTTTGGGGGCTGTCACTAGTCACACGTAAAATTTTGGAGCATGTCGACCCCCACCTGCACAGATAGTTGTTTTAGCCACTGTACATGTATACTGGTTAAATTTTCCCTGCAGGTGGAATAGCACTTTGCACAAAATACGTGAAAAAATAAGTACAGTAGAGTGACTGCGGGTGGGTATCTTTACACTAGGCCTTCTGACACGTAATTGCACGGCTGATCGGGCAGACCCTCCCACAATCTTCTGTGGGTTGCACTTATGCCATTCTGAGATTGCGTCATCATGTCTCGGAATATTGTAAGTTATATAAAAAATAATAAAAAATAATTTACAGTTGAGTATTTTACTGTCACTCCGAGTAATATCAAATTCCGAGCTATCCGCGGCTAAACGTACCGTATTTTACGTCATATAAGATGCACGCCTATATAGGATGCACCCCCTATTTTAGCAGAGAGTATTTAGGGAAAAACTTTTGTGTGTACATTATTTTCCTCCTGTAGTCAAAGTTTTCTTAAAATAATATATACAGTACCAGTAAATGTGAGGAATGAATAAAAATAATACCAATAAATAAGTTTCAACAAAAAATACTGTATTCCCAAACCAGTAAATAAGAAGCCAAATGAAAGTTTAAGGAAACCACATGAGGCGAGATGGTCGAAAAATATTTAAAATAATAAAAAAATTCAACAAATTCTCATAGCTTTATGCACCCTTCCAGTAGCCACTCGCACAATCTCATAGTTATTTATGGAGATTTGGCAATTAAATGGACAGTTAAATCCCCCCTCCCTCCCCCTCCCCCCCCACCACCACCACCACCACCACTCTCACGTGCGTGCTTAAGATCATTCTGTTGCGTTTCAACAACCTCTAGTCTAGTGCTCAAGTAAAATATTCATAGAAAATAATCTATAAAAGTTAATTTACTTCTGGTTTCTTTGGCACTATCTGGCATCTTTCTGTTATGTTACTGTGATGTGGAGGAAGGAAGGAGGAGCAGCTGGAATAGTACTCAAATACGATAAGCTAGTGTGCTCTTGTCTGTCTTAGCTATCAGACGTAGATTCATTGCCTGCCACAGCCCTTGCTCTCGTGCTCTTACTCAAAAGTATGTTTTTTATAGACATTTTCAGATATTTCTCCACTATTTATGGACCGATTTTCAAAATTAAGATTTCAATTGAAAAGGCAAAGAAATACGAAGAATTTTTTTGTCACACTTTTTTGTTATTAAAAAAATATAGAATATGAGAGGTTGAATATAGTATACGTACAATGAAAAATAGAAAAAATTGTAAATAGAAAAAAAAGAAAAAAAAGAGGTTATTCCAACAATTTGTTAATCATGTTGATAACTATCACATAAATAATTTGCAAGAAAATTCTTTGTGGGATAGCAGAGAAATATCGACAAGAAATTTCTTGAAATTTTGATTATTTAAAAAAAAAACCAACCAAAATGCTTTAAATTTGGATATAATCAATACTGTATAGATATACATGACATATATAAAAATCATGAAAATCGGATGATAAATAAAATTGTCCAAGTCGGTATCTTTAACACAGTCGCTATTTGCATATACTGTACAGGGGGGCCCCCCCAAGTTCACGGATTTTTATTTCGCATTCCTCTATTATTCGCGGATGACACCCTGGACGTACCCAGGATGGTGAATTGTGTCTTCCAGAACTGTTTCAGTGTTAGTTCAGGATCATTGGAAGTTGCCTGATGACACCTCCTAAACATTTTCATGTACAACTTCTTGAAGTTGCTGATCACATTCTGGTCCATTGGCTGTATGATTGATGTAGTGTTTGGAGGCAAAAACAACACTTTCACAAAGTCAAATTGATACTCCAAAGTTCTGGCAAGTTCAGGGTCATGACCAGGAGCATTATCCATGAGGAGAAGAGCCTTTAAAGGGAGTTTATTGGTGGTTAGGTAGCTCTTGACAGAAGGGCAAAACACCTCAACAGCCAATTCATTAAAGAGCTGTCTTGTCTCCCATGCCTTATGGTTGGACTTCCAATAAACTCCAAGCTTTGCTCTTACCACTTTATGTTGCTTGAACACCCTGGGGTTTTCAGAGTGGTAGACAAGCTTAGGCTTCAGTCGGAAATCCCCTGAAGCATTGGCTCCAAGCAATAGAGTGAGGCTTCATCTCTGGTGATGAATGTTCTTGATGAATGTTCTTTTGGGCATCTTTTTCCAGAACAGCCCAGTTTCGTCTACATTGAACACTTGTTGTGGAAATAATTTTCTTCTTCCATCAGTTCTTTAAATTCCACTAAAAATTTTGCTGCCCCTTCCTTATCAGCACTAGCAGCTTCACCATGCCTAATAACACTGAAAATGTCACTTCTTTTCTTAAATTTTTCGAACCAGCCTTTGGTGGCCCGAAAATCTTCAAATTCTGTTCCTGAAGAACTAGGTTGATTTGTCTTTAAATGTTCGTAAATCTCCCTGGCTCTTTCACAAATGAATTCAGTAGAAACTGAATCACCTTTCATCTGTTTTTCCCTAATCCAGATGAGAAGTAACCTCTCAGTTTCTGCAATTAGGGATCTAGTTTTAAACACTGGTAGATTTGTCTCTCACTTTCACTTCTTTAAATTTGTCTTTCTGTGCAAGAATTGTCGACACAGTTGATGTCGACATGCCATATTCTTTGCATAGCGCATTTGTTCTAATGCCTTCTTCATGTTTCTTAATGATTTCCTGCTTGGTTTGGATTGAAATCGCTTTTCTTGATCTCTTTGGCCCCATGCTGGATTCAAACAATGTCAACACGTGATTTATTAAGTTTAAACTACTGTAGTTGTAAATAAAGAATATTTTCTTTAAAATAACACTGCACTGCGCTATGTATTGTCAATTTGTAAAATAAATTTCAAAATGACCAATAATTTGCTTGGAAACACAGAAAAAAAAAGCATTTAGTTGAAGAGAGTCTCAAGCAAGATGTTACCTCCACTGAAAACAGAGAGAGATTAACGCTTGTTTGGTGAGTTAAAAGGCTGGATGTCTCGCCAGAAACTAGAGATCTTACCTTCAATTATGTTCAATAATTGTTAAAATGACTAAAAAATTTAATATTAAACTTTTAAAATTATTGAATAGTATAAACTTCTTGATATTTACTAAAATAGTAAGGAATTTAAGCCCTAGAACCGATTACTGTATTGGCGGCTTAATACTACAGCTGGTTGACCGCCAAGTGCAAGCGAAACATGTTGAGGTCGGCTCGTAAGAAACTCGTTAATCGAGGGATTGCTCGTTAACCGAAGTTAGGAATCTTATGGGAGGTAACTCGTTAACCGAAATCTCGTTAACCGAGGCGCTCGTTAACCGAGGGACCACTGTACATGTTAATTATCTGAATTATTATTACAATTATTATTATTATTATTATTATTATTATTATTATTATTATTATTATTATTATTATTATTATTATTATTATTATTATTATTATTATTATTATTATTATTATTATTAAATTTTTGCCTCCCAGACCCCGATGTGGGTCAGTGACCTGTGCCCGGGTGGGCTAATCCCCGTAAAAAGAAAAGAAAAAAGAATAGGATATTTTTTTTGTTATCTACAAAGACTTTAGTTCAAACTAAACTCCAGAAACTAGCGCTTAATAGGGAAAATGAGGTAAGTTATTGGTTTCCAGCCTATTTTTTTGTATAAAGTAATGGAGCATTCTAACCTTGACCACTCACTTCCTCAATGGGAGTGAAATAAGTAAATTCCCATGGGTCAGTCTGTCTATAGAAAGTTTCACTCAACAGAAACAGATGCATGTATGTGTAAGATAATTTGGTGTTTAAAACCTGTTCTGGGAAGTCCTCCCTCTTGATTCTGCTTGATCTATTAGCTGGTTTTGATACTGTCAGTCACCAAATGTTGGTTGGTGACCTTTCAACTATTGTCTTACAAGGGAGTGTTCTATTCTTACTTGAGTCTTATCCACCAGTTAGTGAACTGTACTCTGAGTATGTAACTGAATTGACCTCTTTGCAAAGTACCACAGGGTTCATTTACTCTTGTGGTTTTTGTCTCTGTTGGAATCATATAATGATGAGTACAGTACCACTTTTATGTGGATAATACACAATTTTTTACCAACAATGAACATTGCAGACAAAGGACCAAACGGCATCTCTTTTGGTTGACATCGATCTAGGTGATGGGTGACAAGGAGAAATGAAAGTTGCATGATTGTAAAACTGAAATCATAATTACTGGCAGCATTCTGACTAATATTATCAGTGATGTTTTTGGTTTACTTGATTTTGGAGGCTGCATTGCTTGAAGATATCAGAAATTTCAGTGTGCATTTTGACACAAGTTTAAGTTTCAGAAAGCAGATGAACTTGCCCATAAAAAAATATAATCACATTTTGTGGTGTTAAGAGGTTTAGGTTTTGGATTGACAAAGAGTCTTCATGCTTGTATACAGCTACTACCCGACTTACAACGGGGTTAGGTACTCAAATCCAGGTCGTAAGTCGGACATAGATAAAAAAAAACAAAAAAAAAAAAACACAAAATCTACAATGAAATACAGTACAGTAAAAGTAATAAATAATGAGGAATGGATACAGTGTGACTGAGCACTTACCTTTAATGTAGTCAGCTGAATGCACACGGGGCCCCCATAATTTTCTATTTACAGGATCATGGAGACTATATTAATTGGATGAAGCAGAGGAGGAGACAGGGCTGGGTGGGTCATCAATGTCGCTTTCTTCAGACAGGTTTATGTACAGGGGAAACTTGCTGGTTGAAGGTATTGGATCATCTTGAGGGAGTGAAGAGGCAGCACTGGTGGGGTGTGAGGAGACAGCAATGGGGGATTTCTTAAAATAGATGTCCAATTTAGACTGCACAGTTTGCTTTTTCTTTTTGTTACAAATTTCCCTGTAGGAAGCAAGTGCATCTTGGACTATTCTGTCAACTTTGTCAAAACGCTCATAATTTTGATCCATTCCGTCAAACATTTGCATCCCCTTAATAATTGTAGCAAATGCCTCTGCCATTTGCTTCACTGAAAATTTTTTGGGGGATGCAGGTCCTTCTTCTACATTTCGACTCGCTTCTTCCTCTGCATTTTTGTGTGCTTCCAGTTCGATAAGGTCCTCGTTACTTAGCTCTTCTGCTACACTTTCAACCAACTGTTCAACATCTTCATTATCAATTTCTAACTCCAGCTGTTAACCCAACTCCACTTTCTTGTTACTAATCTCAGAAATAACTTCATTTTCATTAAATCCTCTGAAACTGTTCACATGTCTTTTCAGTGTTTTCTTCCATATTCCATTCATGGACTGTTGTGTAACCTGATCCCATGCTGCAATAATGTTCTTTATACATGTCAAAATGTTGTAGTCCTTCCAAAACTCTCTTGAGCGTTTTCTCACCTTCAGTAGCAGTAACAGCCTGAGCGAAGGTCGTACGTAAATAATTTGCTTTAAAGGCAGCAATAGCACCTTGATCCATGTGTTGGATGACAGAGGTATTGTTAGGTGGAATGTACACTACCTTAGCCCTTTAGGTGCGTAATTAAATTTCGCGGCGGTTCCTGAAAAGTGTCAATTATCCTGCCAAAAATGAATTTCATATAATCACATTTTCTATATGTTTTTCCTAGAGAACTTTTAGTATATTTTCCAAATCTGGAACAAAAATTCACATATGTGTGCAAATTTTAGAGAAAAAATGACATTTATACCCAAAAATGCAGGAAATTGGTATAAATCAATGTCTGGTATATGGCAAATAAATTTAATCAATTTGGTTACTAAACAGCAAATTTAGATATGTATTACATATTCAGATAATATCAAACAAAATACAGTAGTACAAAAATAAGCTATATTGCATTCAGGAAATACTCCTATACCTCAATACATAATATGTCCGCATGTCGTCTCATTTGGGGAAGTTTTTTCAAGGCCGTGGGATATCCCCGCTTGTCGCATTTAATTAATATAATATTTTTTGCGGGTTTACCCGCATGCCGCATCCAAAGGGTTAATATCAGGGTGCATGTCGTCCAGGTGTGGTGGGTGTCCTGGAGCATTATCCAAAATCAGCAAAATCTTGAATGGAATCCGTTGTTGCAGACAATACTCCTTCGCTCGAGGAATGAAACAATTCATGAACCAATCCTCAAACAGTACTAGGGTCATCCAGGCTTTCTTGTTACTGCGATAAAACACTGGTAGTGTGTGCTTGCTGACATGTTTAAAAGACCCGGGGTTCTCTGAATGATAGATCATGAAGGGCTTGATCTTGAAACCAGCATTATTCCCCCCCAACAGAAGTGTAATTTGGTCCTTGAATGCCTTGAATCCTGGCATTGTTTTCGCCTCTTTGTGGATGTATGTTCGCTCAGGCATGTGCTTCCACACTAATCCAGTTTCATCCACATTGAATATTTGCTCAGACAAATAATTTCCTGCCACAATCACACGATCCAACTCCTCCTAAAAAGCTTCGGCAGCACCAACAGCAGCACTAGCTGCCTCTCCACTCACCTTAACGTATGTAAACTGTAGCGGTTCTTAAATCTGTTAAACCACCCATGACTTGCTGTGATGGTTTGTTCGCACTCATCTCCTGCCTGCTCCTCAGGCTTCAAACAGGCTTCTTGCCTTAGCCTGTAAGGTTAACAGGCTTAAGGGTACACGCTTCTGTATTTGGTCTTCCATCCATATCACCAATAATTTTTCCATATCGTGAATGGGACCTTGTCTTTTCTTCGTAATTATAGTTCCCTTTATAGGTGCTGATACTTTCACTACACTACGAATACGTTCCTTGTCCTTCAGAATAGTGGATATCGTCAAGTGCGAAAAGCCTAGGTCGTGTGAAATTGTTGCTACAGTTTTTCCGTTTTCATACTGCATTATTATCTTCATTTTTGTCTCAAAAGTAATTGACTGTCTCCTTTTCTTCTGAGCACCACCACCACTCTCACTTCTACGCTTTCTAGTCATTATAAAGTCAATTAAATACTACTGCTTGGGAGCTGTACCCACGCGGTGACCCAAGCCACGCTCTCGTATGGGACGGAAACGTTTCGGTAGAGAAAATGCGCATGTCATTTGAAAAATTTTTTGGTCTCGACCTCGTGGTTGTATGTGAGGATGGTCGTTACGGAGAGCAGGTCGTAAGTCCGGGTGGACGTAGGTCGAGTAGGTCGTAAGTCAGGTAGGAGCTGTACTCATACTGTACAGTGGTCCCTCGGTTAACTAACGGTTCGATTAACGGATTAGCTCCTACAAGGATTTTCAGTTCGATTAACGAACTAACTCAAATGTAAGTCTGTATATTTTCTGCCACCAGCTGCAACTCTATTAATAAACTGTTTATTATTATTTTTATTATTATTATTATTATTATTATTTTATTTTTTTATTTTTTATTTATTATTATTTTTATTATTATTATTATTATTATTATTATTATTATTATTATTATTATTATTATTATCATTATCAGCTGATCGGCTAGTCCGCCAATACAGTAATTGGTTCTATGTTTACATTCGTTTTCCAATGAAGTAAATAAAAAAAAAAAGTTGGTCTCTTGAATATTTCTGCATTTTTTATATTAAAATTATTGGTCATTCTGAAATTTAGTAAACATATTGATAATATATACAGTACTGTATAGGGAACAGTTTTTTTGCGCTCATCAGCTGATTGAATCACCCAACAACGCTTCTCAGTTTAACTTTGTTTACAGTGCAGTGAACATCCAGTTTGTTGGTCTCTTGAATATTTTTGCATTTTTACATTAAAATTATTGGTCATTCTGAAATTTAGTTCACATAATGATAATATACAGTACAGTGCAGAAATTATTATGAAACATGAAGAAGGCATTAGAACCAATGCACTCTGTAAAGAATATGGCATGTCATCATCGACTACCTCTACAATCAGCTGTTTGATATGTAAACAAAGCTGTCGGTAATACGACATACACACCTCAAAGTAAGTTAAAATATAGTATTCTATTGTTTTTTATATATTATTGTACAGTACTGTATACTGTACAGTACACTGTACTGTATCTAGTTCATATTTAATGTTTTGTTAATTCTATTACCGGTATACAGTACTTTGTATGTATGTTTTCTGTGAGTTGGAACCAATTACCCAATATCCCATTGAAATAATAGATTCGGTTAACGAACGACTGTGGAACGAATTGTGTTAATTATCAGTTGAGCAAAGTCCGGTTTCTCCTGCACAGATTGATTAGGTTTATCTATTCACCTCCCAAGAACTCCTACTACTCCAATGAAAGCAAAAATTTAATTACAGGACAAATGTTATTAATGACTTTTAAAGTCATAAAGTTGGAAGAGCCGAAATATTTTGACAACTTATTGTTACTTCTGATTACTGGCTCAAATATGGCATTGTATAGTATAACATTAATGATCCATATTGCCTTTTTTAATCTAGAGCCACATGTGAAGGTTCCTTTTAGGCTCTGTTTTTCATAGACAGCTTATTTATTGTACGTACAGTATATACATTTGGTTATTCATCTCCCTGAAGAAGGTGGACTCAATTGAGACATTATTATTTTTAATATCAGTATTATTATTAACATTGTAAGATAAGGGGAAGACAGTGTATGGCTTTAAAGGATGAGGTTTTGATTGATATTTATCTTTAATTGTGAATGCATTGTTTATTTATCTTTTAATACATATCCCTCACTAGAGTACTGTACTGTACTCTTGAATTAATCACACTCAAGTTTAATGTTTAGTTAGTTTTTGTTTCTTTATGTGTGTTTTGGAAAATTGTGACACGTTATTTGGTATGAATACAAAGAAAAGTTAGGCCTATGTATATGTTCAGTTTAATTGACTAAGATTGTTGCTCATATATTTTCATGAGTATTTGGAAAGTGAGGGTCTTCGGCGACATGGAAGCACCATCTCACTCACCTCCAACACCTTCTCCACAACGTCTGGCTCTTCACTTAAGAAATCAAAAGGTCAGTGAGCTTTCGCAATCTCACAGCAGTTTTACTTTCATTTTATTGAGTTCTTGTGCTGTATATTGCTGCCTTTAGATTAATAGTTTAATTTTGTATTATGGTGTAAGAATTTTGAAGCTACTTTAAGAAGGCCAAACACAACTACAGTAATTTGCTACAATATGTTCTTATACCTAAGTTTACTTAACTTGTGTGGGTTGGCAACTTGATAAATGAATTTTATGTTATGCAAAATAAAATAAGTAAATCATATGTTTTATATGAAATAATGTACAGTACAGGTAGTTACAAAATACAGGTTATTGTTATATGAAATCTAAATCTATCAGATACTCTTTACAAATAGTCTGATATTTTTAATTTTTAGGGTTGAAAGAGAAGTTAGCAGAGCTTGAGACCTACCGAGATATTCTCTTAAGGCAGATGGACACTTTACAGTCATATTTTGATGTTTGTGCTGACACTGCCAAGGATTTGAAGAACACTGATGCCACATGTAAGTTACTGTGATATTATTTGGTCAACCAGTATCCATTCTGCCCAAAAATGAACTTAGAGTTTAATTTAAGGAGGTATATAAGGTATATAAGGACCTAGGCTATGATATAGTGGAATTTTAAGCATTATTCTGTAAGTACAGTATGCACATAGTATGTGTTCTGACTTACGTACAAATCCGACTTACGATCGTTCTCAGGAACGGAACCCGTTTGTAACCCGGGGATCCCCTCCCCTGTACAGTACTATCCACCACTTCTGCCGAGGAATTACTCGTGGGTAGGAGAAGGACCCCAATTGATTTTGAGTGCAAATTATTGTAGGTGGAAGTCACTTTTGATAACTGGAGGGTAATGGTGTTAAAAAGCTACTGCATACAGATCTAGTTTATAGGTGATAAGATATGGATCATTATTTTCCTATCTCTTTTTTGCTGCTGAAATAAATAAAAAATATATATTATGAGATACAATATAACCTCCTCTGTTAAAAATCCATGGGGTGTGACACATTCCATTTGACTAGAAAGACGTTACGGATGGTAACATTAAGTTAGGTACGTACACTATTCCTAAGCTAATATGAAGTAGGCAATGCTAGTTAAAGTAAAAATCCAAGTAGATGAAGAAATATAACAGGTACTCGGCCATTTATCTGGTTTCTAGGAAGCCAGATTTACCAGAAACGGTTGTTTTTTAAACTGGTTAGTTTTGAAACTGGCCACAATGCTTTTCTATTGGTATTGCTTCGGTGGCCTCAGTTTTAAACAGCCGACATCTGTGTGTAGCACAGGTACTTGCCTCTGTCTAATTTTTGTGGTAATTTACCCCAATTTATTATCATCATCTATTAACACATTTTAAAGGCTAGCTAAAGGAAAGTCAAAAAGAATTAATTTTTTGCTCCAACAACAATGCATTGCCATAGTCTTTGTTTGTCATGATGGGTGATTCTCCTCACTCTCTCGCCAGCATTTTTACGAGTGGTTTGTGACAGTGCATACTGCCTAACCACTCAGTACCTGAGGATTTTTCTTTTACGGGGAATAACCCACCTTGGCACAGGTCATCGACCCACAATGGGGCCTAGGGGACGAAAAAATAAGGATAAAAAGAAATTAAAAATAGAAGAGAAAAAGATTACAGTACAGGGGCTCCTCGTTATCTGCGATTAACTGGGACAGGTAAAGCGCCTCTGATAATGAATCCACTTAATGCAGGGAATTAATCCCATGAGAAAGAATGGAAATAGGACCATGATTTTGTACACAACACTCAAAAAAAATTTATATGATATCTTTTAACCTTAGAAACATATGTTAATTATTTAATAATACATTATATTAAGAAATTATTTAACTATAAGTTATCTCAGATCCTTAAAGTTCATTGGGGCCGGTGTGTTGAGGCAACGTAGGTTGTGCCAGTGACCCGGTGGTCCGCAGCAACTGTTGTTGGTGCACACTCACTCCAGTGGTTCATTGAGACAAAATACTTATTATAATGTTTTAAAAATAATAATTTTAACATAATAAAATATTTTTATTTACTTAGCTTCAAAGGTAGAGATGTTTGGCTTGATTGGTTTGGAGGTATGTAGTGTAGATAATTTCAGCTCCCTACAGCTGAAGACACGGGTACGGAGTCTGCCAAAGACTTGAGATGCACACTTGATCCGATATTGAATGTCTTCATCGATGTCTGCGGTGGTGGACAGGTGGGAGCCAAGATACTGAAAGTGGGTAACATTAGAGAGGGTAGGACCATTAAGCTGGATGGATGGTGGAGATGTGGCTGAACCAGAGGCAGGGTGAACGAGAATCTGAGTCTTGCATACATTCACCTCAAGGCCGAAGTGTACATACGCATCTGCGTAGGTGTTCAGGATCTCCTGTAGGTCGCGTTCAGTGTGAGCGACAAGGGTGAGGTCATCTGCCTACTGAAGTTCAGTAATGGAAGCTGCCGACACCTTTGTTCCGCCCTGGAGTCGTCTTATGTTGAAAATACCCTTCACCCAGTACTGGATGTCCTCCCTGCTGGGTAAATTGGCACTGGCACAAGTAAGGAAGGCAGCCAAGAAAATGGAAAAGAGAGTTGGTGCCAGGACACATCCTTGTTTAACCCAGGTTTGGATGGGGAAGAACTCAGACTAGGTGCCGTTGTGCAGGACACTGCCATTCATGCTTTCGTGGAGCTGCCTCACAATGGCAATGAATTTTGATGGGCAGCCAAAACAAGCTGAGGGTCTGTCAGAGGGCTTCCCTGCTGACGGAATCGAAAGCCTTTGTTAGGTCAATGAAAGCCATGTACAGGTCTCGACGCTGTTATCTGCACTTTTCCTGTATCTGGCGGGCAGCAAAGATCGTGTCAGTGGTGCCACGTGATGGTCTAAAATCACACTGAGATTCTGGGAGGAAGTTTTCCGCCCCAGGAAGGAGTCTGTTTAGGAGGACTCTGGCGATAATCTTGCCAGCTACTGACAGCAATGAGATCCCATGGTAGGGATTTTGTCCTTCTCTCATACATTCTCCAGGAGAGAGTGGATATGGCTGGTAAGCAGAGGTCCTCCTGCTTTATACACCTTGGCTGGGATTTCATCAGGCCCTGAAGCTTTGTTATTTTTCGTCTGTTTGATGGTAGTAGCTACCTCATCCAGGGATGGAGGATAGCTAAGGTGGGTCAGCTCTGGATGCTGAGGGACCTGCTAGGTAGTCAGGACATCCACATTGGTGTTTCTGTTAAGCAGTGAATGGTAGTGCTCTTTCCAGCACTAAAGCATGCCTTCATCATCTTTAATTAGGGAGTTACTGTAGGATGAGCAGAGGGGCGCTGCGCCATGAGTGATTGGTCCATAAAATCCTCCCTCCCTCCCTCCTTCCTTCCCTCCCTCAGAACCAGAAATGCTGTATGGTAAATCCAGGAAACCAGTTCACCTCAGGTACCAATCTTGGTGGTCAAATAGTCCGGTACCTGTACAGTACAGTAAAACCTTGATAAATCGGACTTCAATATATCGGAATTCGCTTTTTTTGGACTCTGAGATGTTCGGGTCACCAGAAAAAAAAAAATAAAAAAAAAAAATAAATAAAAAAAGAAAAAGAAATGGGGATGATTAATAAAAAAATCTTAAATAAACAGCACTTACTGAATACTGTACAGTGGTCTAATCAGATTTGCTATAGGCCTACTGAGAACTAAGACACTTGAGTATGTTAGCAGGCTGGGGCTGACCGGGTGTTGCCACATTTGTCAGGTTTATTTATTTATTGATTCAGTATTATATTCTCATATGATTGGCCTCTTATAGTTTATGGTTCATCATGATTAATATAACATCTTCAGTAAGTACCAAATGATCCTAAATTATATGAGAATTATGGTGAGACTGCATAATGAAGTGTTAAAGGAATCTTGGGGGAGAGAGCACCCACCCATGCTACCCTCCTTCCCTCCCCCAGCTGCTCCCAGATAAACATTTGTCTTCCACATACAATATACTCCTACACTTATTTGTTCTTATTTTTATAGTACTGTACAGTATACAGTTTTCTCTTTATTCATAAGACAAATTCTGTGGTTACTTACATATAACACTTTACAGTAAATAACAATCATCTCAGTTACAACAGTTGTTGACAACCAGACTTATATGTCTGATTTTCAACCCACAGAGTTTTGTTTCACATTCGATGTAATATTCTATTAATAACCTTGTTATACACCTTAAGACTTGAGTTGTTGAAGTGCAGTAATAACATAACATCAACTTATTTTCTTTAAACAGTTCATATAAGCAGTGTTATCTCTACCCCCCCTATATATTCACATTTTTCTGACTGGGGTCTGCCCCGATTAGTCTGATTTATGGAGGTTCTGCTGTAGATCTCATCTATTTTGTGGGGTTGTATATGCAATATTGTTAATTTTTAAATTGTGGCTATTGGGAGTACAGTATGGAGTTATGTGGAGCTAATTTTTATTTCCTAAATTCATTGCATTTCAAAAAGAACTGAAATAGTATTTGATTTATATGATTGGAAAACCTAAAAAAATATTGTGGAAAAATACAGTGCTAAGAGATTTCAAAATAAATTGGACAAAAATCTAAATAAAGTTGTAGGTGCTGCAACAGCAGAGTTGATAAATTCAGTAATTTGCTTAAATAGGAACAAATATAAGCAGAAGCATGCACTGCATTCTGGATAGGAGGGAAGGATTTCTACAGTGCCAGAAAAACTTACTGCTAGCTTTCAGACCCATCTGTATGTTGTGTGACCAGTACACTCAGGTCTGTTTTCAGGAAGTTCTAACTAATTTTGATATTTGTTAAAAAATTTTCTGGCAGTTCAGGTAGAGAGGATATTTTGGGTTATGATCTTTGGATAAAATAAATTTGCTTGTTTTAATATATAATGATACAGTACAGTACTGTACTATATTTACGATTTTAAATATACTGTGCTGTACCACAGGTAATGGCCATGATACAGAGCAAGATGGTGCTGTTGAACTAGCTGTGGCTGCTGAATGTGGCTTTGGAGAATCTCCTAAAGCTGGGGGCAGGAAATTTTCACCTGATCATCATCCTCACCCTCATGTGAACAAAGAATCTCTGCAGAAACATGGGGCTTATGCATTAGATTTCCGTGGAGAAGCTCTTACTTTCAAGGTAAGTTGCAAGCTAATAAGTTACTCTTGGTTTTAGGTTTTTTTACCATTGAAAAGATGTTGATAAAATAGTGTGGATGAGTTTATCTGGAGAACGGTCTTTAGAATCAGTCATGTATAGAGTTAGAAATTGGAAATGCAATTTCAGTACAGTAGAATCCCAATTATCTGGAATCCATGTAACCGACACCAAAAGGAAATAATAATATAAAATACTGTAGAAATTCCTCCAAAATCGGCTAGAATCATAAGTTTGAATACCACACACAATAGGAATGAGCTGCCATAATTATTGCTATGATAAACAATAAAATCAATAATTAGCATATCACAAAATACAATAATGCAAATTCTATATATAAAAAAATCTCCTTCCACACACAAACCATCTTCTGGGCAACATGACACAGTTCAGACAGTCACCCAGCTGACTCGTAGACCTGTGGCTGCTGCGCTGGCTGTGCGTATGCCATGATGTCACATTGGGAGGGAGCGCGGCCACGCAGTTAAAGCACAGTAACCCACCACCTCCACGTGCAGCCACTCCCACACATACACACCCATGCTCTTAATTTTTCTTATTTTATAGCTTTATATTTTCTTTATTTCTAAGCTATATCATTAATATACAGTGGAAAAAGTGTGAAAGAAGTTTATTTTTCTGAGACATGAATTTGCAAGGTCAGCCTGTAGCACTGTGCATTGTAAGATTATTGGGGGGATCCTAAGAATGAGGTTTATCTAACCAGAAAATCTTTTTAATCAGCACCTCTCAATCCCCATAGGTACTGGAAAACTGGATATCTATTGTTCTTGCTTAGGTCAGTACTGTACAGTAATTTGAATTCTTTTCACTTTAGCTCAGTAGATAGATATAGAGTAAGAAAAATTTTGAGAGAAAATTATTTGTGTGGTTATGCTGCACATTTTGCAACAAGGTTTAGTAATGTATAAACACCGCTTCTTGTCCAATCAGTGAAGTTAAGCAATGTTTGGTATAGGTAGTATTTGGATGGGTGACTGCCGAGCCCTAAGAACACCAGATGCTGCTGGCATAAGGACTCTAGAGGAAACAACATCTCATGGCATTCTCAGATGCCCTTGGTCAATTTGACTGAATATCAATAGTGATAGCCCTGTTAGCCAAAACAATTGGTGCAGAGCACTTCCGGGGATGAGAGATTTCTGGACAACCAGACGACCTTCTCAAACCCAATTACTGGGAAAAGTTTCTTAAGTGTCTAAACTGCACTAGCCCACTTCCGCAGAATGTTTCTGGGTGCTAGGGAATGTTTTCTGAGAGTCTAAACTACTGGGGTCTGTAAAAGCTGTTCTAATTAAGTTAGAAATTCCATTTCTATACTAGAATTATCCAGATTAGTTTACCTAAAAGTTTGGTTTTAAGTAAATATATTTAAAAACTAAAAATCCATATGATACGGGCATGAATGAAGCTGTGTGTTACAGTAAAGACTTATTTTCCACTCCCATGGAGCTGTGGGGGATTAGTGGGTCTTGTAACTGACCTGACCTGAAGCATGTCAGGTGGAGGTAGGGTGGGGGATTAGTGGTCTCATATTATTGACCTTCTGATGGAATGTCAGGTCACCCTTTCTTGGGTGGAGGATTAGTGGGTCTCATGGCCTGAAGATGTCTTGAATAAACACGGAAAAGTGTTTTCCGAGGGGCACATTTTCTGGAAAATTCCGAAAGAATTTTCTCGATACCCGGAAAATTCCGGGGATGGAGGATTTTTTCCCGGGTTTGAGAGATGAAAATGAGGTGCCGGAGTTGGCAGAGATGCTGACATGTGTCGGTATCATTGGGAGAAATGGACTGGGCAAGAGTAACCACAATGGCCTACTCCTCAGTAAGTGTGATGCACACAACCTCACTATCACCAATACGGTGGTCCCTCGGTTAACGAACACAATTCATTCCAGAAGGTCATTCGTTAACCGAAAATTTCGTTTACCGAAACCATTGTTACAATATTGGGTAATTGGTTCCAGCTCACAGAAAAGTATATACAAAGTAAAGCCATAATATAATTTACATTGCTGGAATTCTTATAAGATAGTGATTAATTTGAATATAAACAAGCTAAAATTTGCATTAGACATACAAATTTTAGATCTAATTTAAGAATTTTATTAGGGAGAGCAAAAATTTTATCTTTTGTGCAAAATATATGACGTTTATATTCAATTTATTCCCTGTCTTGCAAGGATTTCAGCAATGCAAATTATATTATCCTAACTTTAGTCTGAGGTATTATTTATTTTTAAACCTGTAATCCTAGTCTTTTTACCCAAACGTTTCTCAGGAAGGTGGAGGGTAGGGAGGGAGGGAGGGGTGACAGTGACATGTTTGACAGTTGGCGCCTGTGGTGTGAAGTATTTAATTGTTAATTTATGTCCTTTAGATTGAGTTTTTGTTTTTTGCTTATAAAATTTAATAGAAGTGACCAGGGTGAATTTAATTTGTATTGCTGGAATTCTTATAAGATAGTGATTAGTTTGAATGTAAACATAGAAGAGATCACTGAATTGGCTGAGTACCTCCTCAGCTTATCAGCTGATGTTCAAAACAAAATGTGATTTTCGTAAGGATTTCGTTAATCAATTTTTTTTCGTTAACCGAATTGAAGATTCTTATGGAAGGTAATTCGTTAAGCGAAAATTCGTTAACCGAGGCGTTTGTTAACCGAGGGACCACTGTACCTTGTTTAGGCAAGCCTACAAGTTCAAGGGTTCGTGGTAACACCCATGATCCAAACAATGGCATCTCATTGTCAGAAAAAGAGATAGCTGAGATGTCCTCATCACCCAAGCCATGTGTGGCTCAGACAACTATGACACTGATCATCAGCTTGTTAGAGCCAAGCTCTCACTTCACGTTGCCCCAAAATGGCAAATGCAGCAAGTCTTCAGAAGAGGTTTTAGCACTAAGCATCTGGAGGATCCAGCAGTAGCACATGCTTTCAGAGAGCAGCTCGAACATGGGCTGATACACAACCCAACATCAAACAACACAAATCTCAGTGCCGAATGGGATATTCTCGACACTGTCATGACAAAAACCTGCAGAGACCCTCGACCAGATCGAAGAATGCACCAGGACTGGTTTGATGAAAATGGCCCGGCAATCAATGTAAGCGTTAATGATAAACATGCTGCTTTAACTGACTGGCAGAACAACCCTCAATCTCGGACCAAAGCTGATACCTTCCACAAGAAGAAAGCGGCAGCCCAGCGTGAACTTCGCAATCTAAAAAACAACTGGTTTATAAATAAACCATGTGAAACAAAAACTTGCATATCAGCACAAGATGAGCAAATTTTTCAATTATATTAAAACATTTTATGGGCCAACCACTCGTGGGGCAGGCCCCCTCCGCTCATCTGACGTTAACTTCATAATTAAAGACGATGAAGACATCCTTCAGCGCTGGAAAGAACACTACCATTCACTGCTCAACCGAAACACTGATGTGGATGTCCTGATTACCCAGCAAGTCCCTTAGCATCCAAAGCTGACCCACCTCAACTATCCTCCATCCCTGGATGAGGTAGCTACTGCCATCAAACAGATGAAGAATAACAAAGCCTTGGGGCCTATGGAATCCCACCTGAGGTGTAAAAAAGCAGAAGGACCTCTGCTTACCAGCCGTCTCCACTCTCTCCTGGAGAATATATGGGAAATGGTGGAAATCCCCCAAGCTCTTAAAGATGCTTCCATTGTCAATATTTAAAAGAACAAGGGAGACCGGTCAGGCTGTGGCAACTACCGTGGGATCTCGCTGCTGTCCCTTGCTGGCAAGATTATCGCCCAATTCTTCCGAGGCAGAAAACTTCCTCCCAGAATCTCAATGTGGCTTTACACCATCACGTGGCACCACTGACATGATCTTTGCTGCCCACCAGATACAGGAAAAGTGCAGATAACACCGTCGTGACCTGTACATGGCCTTCAACGACCTAACCAAGGCCTTCTACTCGGTCAGCTGGGAAACCCTTTGACGAACCCTTAGCTGTTTTGGTTGCACACCAAAATTCATCGCCATTGTAAGGCAATTCCACTATGGCATGAACGGCAGTGTCCTGCACAATGGCACCCAGTCTGAGTTCTTCCCCATCCAAACGGGGGTAAAACAAGGATGTGTACTGGCACCAACTCCCTCTTCTATTTTCTTGGCCGCCTTCCTTAAGGCCAATTCACTCTATCCTTCACGTATCGGCAACGGTTCGTCAAAACTGCGAGCTTTCACATCTTCCATCACCGTTCCGTCAGCGATCGGTGAGTCGATGTGTAGCTTCTGAGTAAAAATGGCACTATATTCATTTAGCAAGAAGAAACTTGCAGTTACTGCACTTCTTTTGGATGAGGAAGAAGCAGAGAAAAACAAAAAGAAGAGACTGTGGATTCACCAGTGTTTAAGAAACAAAACCTGAGGGAGAATACAGTACTGGACTTTATTCAAGGACTCTCAAAGTACTGCCTGAGAATGCTGACATTATTGTTTTTGCAACTTGTATTTTGCACAATTATATTAGAGATCAAGATATGACAGACATTAAAAGCATCACTCCTTCAAGGTTAGAAAACAACTTTTCTGGTTTGGCTGGACAAGGGGGAAATGCCAATCAACGTGCCTTTTATGCGAGAGAAATTTAAACAATTCTTTATCAGCCCATCTGGCTCTATACCTTGGCAGTACAGTAAAACCTCGATTAACCGCCCACATATGGGGGGAAGGGGCCGACGGATAATCCAAAAGGTCGGTTAATAGTAAATAAAGTCTATGGAAATGAAACATACATTTTCAAAGTACCTATCCCTAACCTACCTCATTGAAGTTCCTATATTCATTTTTGTTCATTTGCCATTCATATTTCAATAGAATTTGCTTTTAAACATTAACCACTTTAGTAAATAATTATGAACCAGCACAGAAACCGTGAATAAAAAATGGAAAAGTCAAAGAACATGTGGCATCACAAAAATTGTGACCAAGTCCCAGGTTGCTGATCTGACTTTCTGCCTCATTTACACACAATTGCAGGGTCTCAATTATTTCTCTTGCTATTGACAACACATCATACATACAGGTATATTGTTTGTCACTCTTGATTTTTTTCATTTTTTGCATTTCTTTATTATTATTATTATTATTATTATTATTATTATTATTATTATTATTATTATTATTATTATCATTTTTATTATTATTACATTATCGCCCCCCAGGCCCCGATGTGGGTCAGTGACTTGTGCCCGGGTGGGCTAATCCCCGTTTTTTTTTAGTTTTTTTTAATTTTTTTAGGGGGTTCGGGATCGACGGTTAATCCAAAAGTCGGTTAATCGAGGTTTTACTATAGTTAAATTAAACAATGCAGTGTTACGTAACAATAAAGGATAATCTCTTACCTGGTTTGTTTATTTCCTCTCCTATTATTTTCCACAGTCTGTCCTGATAAACTTTATCGCTATTTTTTATTTTTTTTGGAGGGGGGAGGGGGGACATATCATATAGTTCTTCATATCTGTGAACCAGTTCAATGAGCTGTTCATCCATGAAGTGAAACAAATGTGAATAAATCAGCTAGGACTATATCAAGCTGTAGACTCTCCCGCCTGCTCTCTAGCACGAACGTGACGGAATGGAACCGAACCGAACCGATACGTGACGGTGACATGCCGGTTAGGTATGAACAGCTCCATTTGATTACATGTAAGAAATTTTGACGGACCGTTGTCGATCCGTGATGTTACCAATATATGATGGATAGTGTGAATCGGCCTTTATTCGTGCCAGTGGCAATTTAGCCAGCGCGGTGGACATCGAGTACTGGATGAAGGGTCTTTTCAATATACGACGACTCCAGGCAGGAACAAAGGTGTTGATAGCTTCCATTACTGAACTTTAGTATGCAGACGACCTCACCCATGTTCAGGAGTTCCTGAACACCTACGCAGATGAGTATGCACACTTCAGCCTTGAGGTGAATGTTCGCAAGACTCAGATTCTCTTTCAGCCTGCCCCTGGTTCAGCCACACCTCTACCATCCATCCAGCTCAACGGTACTACTCTCTCTAATGTTACCCACTTTCAGTATCTCGGCTCCCACCTGTCCACCACCGCAGACATCGATGAAGAGATTCAGCACATGATCAGATGTGCATCTCAAGCCTTTGGCAGACACTGTACCCGTGTCTTCAGCTGTAGGGAGATGCAGTTATCTACAAAGTTAAACATATATCGAGCAGTGGTCCTCCCCACCCTGCTATATGGCAGTGAGACATGGGTCACATACAGGAGGCACCTCAAGGCACTTGAAAACTTTCTCCAATGTAGTCTATGTTCCATCCTCTTAGTTCACTGGGAAGTCAAGAGAACAAATGACAGTATTCTTGCCAACACCAACTGTAGGAGCATCAAGGTTACCATTATTCATGAACAACTACATTGGATTGGCCATGTTACCTGCATGGACAACAGTAGACTACCAAAGTATCTACTTTACAGTCACCTAACGAATGGTAAACGTAACGCTGGTGGGCAACTGAAAAGGTGTAAGGATAGTCTTCAGACAAACCTGAAAGGGTGCCAAATCGACCCCCTCACCTGGGAGATGATTACTCCACCCCGTAACGCTTGGAGGAGCACCACACAAGAAGGTGTCAATATTTTCGAGTTAGCCCGACTGCATACCGAGGTCAGACAAGCACCAGCGCTGGAAAGACACTGGCTCCACCCCTCCCGCACTAGATGTAGCTCTCCACACGTGTAACATCTGTGATCGACCCTGTCAGTCCCGTATCGGCCTTTTTAGTCACCTCAGAGCTGCCCAATGAAGGTGACATCCTCAATAACTCATTTCATTGTATCACATTGTATCATAACTGGATGATCGTCATACTCGATTCCGAGTGACAGCAAAGTAGGAGTTGAGTGTGTGTGTTTGTGTGTTTGTGTGTTAGATAATGGTGTAATGTTCACCCTGCAATATAGCATGAAAGGTATTTTAATTGTTTAAAAAAAAAGGGTTGTTTTACTGAAATTGTGGACTATTTATTGTTTTTAAAAATGGCATATATTTATTTTAGGCAACAACAGCTGGGATCCTGACCACCTTAAGTCATTGTGTTGAAGTTATGAACCAACGTGAAGAGTCATTCAAGAGGCGACTGGAACGTGAGGGAGAAAAGCGTAAACGATTGGAGGAGAGGCTAAAGTATGCTCTTGCTGACAATGCACAAGAAAAACCAAATGCAAGAAGAATGGTAGTCATGGGAGGACCAGATTATGAGGTTTGTTTTTTATATAAGAAAGAAATATACCATTCATCAAATATGGTCTAGATTCTGTATATTACTTAGTACTTCTACATTAAGAGGAAAATAGAATGATTTAGAGTGTTCGTTAGTAAAATGTCAGTCCCTAAATAGCCCAATAAATTGGTTAATGGGGATCATATTACTGTACTGTTATGTATAATAAGATGGTCTCTTAAATTGAAATGTATTGTACAGTACAGCAAAAACATGAATCCTATTATATATGCTTGATTCAATTGGTAAGAATTTTTTTTTTCTCAAATTGGAGTGAAAAGAAAAATATTTAGTACCTGTCAGTTGCAGAAACACTGCTTAAGTGATTAGTTGGGTGGGGGGGCCCCTCTCACAGAAAAGACAATGTGGATAAAACTGAGAACTAGTCTTAATGTTTACTAATTAGGAGGATGCACAAGATATATATATTTATAGACTACTGTCACCCCTAACAGTCTTATACAGTATATTTATTCATCTCATTTGTGGGATGCACCTCAGGGTAACCTATAACGTTACAGCTGACACTAATTAGTCCAGCTGACCCGTTGTAACCCTTGCCTTGGGAAATGAATGTTGAGAGCTAAGGAGGTTTTTGTTTGTTGTCAGCAATACTGGATTTCTAGTACCAGGTCCAAATCAACTGTTTTTCTGTTAATAGCAGGTTGGGCTATAAGGTAAGTCAAGCCTATACCTTTTATATAGCACTAGTGGATGTACAGTCTGTGGTGATGCTACATGACAATTGCACTGTTTACAATGTTTGGTAACTTCAGTATGTCTTTGCTTAGGTTGCAAGTGCAATTTCACTTGTGTTCTACATTCACGTGCATTATTCTGTTGTCAGTTATTTGTGGTGCCATCAAGTGGGCAGAGTTTTTACTTTTTTTTCTTTTGACCCTGTTGATGACTTGACTGTTTCATCACATTATCTTGCTGGAATAATTAAATTTTGTTCTCCTTTATTGTTTAGAAAGACTTGTAAAGAGGAAAGCAATGATGTATTGTATGTATCATGTCCTGTCCTCTTATATAGCAGCAGTTGGGAAACCATTTTTATTCTGGGTGGTGCTGTGGTGTTCTGGAGTGAATGTGTTTCATTATCTGCTTATATCACCAGGTCAAGGTAGAAGTTTTAATTCAGTCTTTGTTTCCATTTCTTGTCTGTCAGATGATTTCCAGATGGGTGACTGTCCTAATTTAAGGGATTTAAGAAAGAGGTTTTTGGTCCTGAAAGTAATCTTGAAAGGTTTTAAATGGAAGTTACAGGACCAATTAAATAGTTTTCTTGCTGAGTTACTGGGGTGTGTGTTACACAGCTCTTGCGTTTCCTTCTACCTCGCCTTTATTTTTTGAAGACTTCTATATTTATGGATAATTTTTAACAGGCATCAGGCTGAAAATGGGGAATTAATTCTGAAAATCCATTTCATAAAAACCCTCCTCCTTGGGGTTTTCCTTGGAGGTTCCTTGGAGGTCAACCAATTATGAGGATGGTATTGGCTCCTTCTTTACAAATTGGGCCTGTATAAGAACAGATAGTGCATATGCTTAATCTCGACTCATTTGCTCCCAGCCCTAATTGACAACTTTAGGTTCTCAGACTTCTTTTTGGGCCGGAAGTTGGGCTGATTTTTTAAGTAGCTCCAACTGCTTAAGACTAGGACTTCTATTGGTTCCAAAGCCTGGAAGCTTAGTAGGCATATTCTTGAGTAATTTTTTTAAGCTTAGTTATATAATTAGATTTCAGGGGTAATCCCCATTTTTTTCATGTTTTTTTTTTAATTGGTTTTATATTAAAACTATTCTATGAAAACACATTGGAGAGTATTTGTCTCTGTATTGAAAATCACTGAAAATAAGTCTGAAATACTATGTCTGGAATTGGTTTATTAAGTTCAAGAGTTACATTTGATTTATAAGTAATTTTGTTAACTTGTATCTATTTAACATAATGACTAAGTTCAGGAGAATGCTGTATATAGATAAAGGAAGTACTAAAGTGATATCTGACAGTAAAAATTTATTATTTAGTAACAATGCTGTGATTCATTGCAGGAAGGGCCACACAGTGTAATAGGAGAAGACGAATTCTTTGATGCTGTGGAATCTGCTTTGGACAAAATGGATGAAGAAGAGGAATTCAGGGAACGCCTACGACAGAAACAGTTGGCAGCTCCTCAGAAACCTGCAGCCACACATCCTCTCTGGCCACAGGTAAAGTTTTATGGAAATTTGTATGAGGTATGAAAGTTTCCAATAGTAGTAACTGTTTTGAATGTGTTTCACAACCTACAGGTAGTTTAGATAAAGGAAAGGCATCCAGCCATAAAACTTGTTACAAATTTGCCTGATGGCAGCCAGAATGCCACACTATCAGGTAATCATGACTAACCCACACAAGTGAAGAAGGTGGAGGTAAAGCAGTGATGATGATGATGGCAATGATTGATTCACTGTATATTTCATCATTAAAATCTTGAATTTATAAAGTAACTTAATGGAAATGCAGTTGTCATGCTGTATGGAAAAATAATGTGAATTATGTTATGATTGTGAATTAGGAAGCTGAAAATATATTACATCCTCTGCCAGATTGAGAAACTAACAATGGAGCAGCTAGGTTATGCTCAACAAGGTGTTGAAGGAGGGATATGGCAAATCTTTGCTGAGGAAGGCGAGATGAAGATGTATCGGCGTGAACTAGAGGAAGATGGGTTGGTTGTTGATCCTCTCAAAGCTGTGCATCAAGTACGAGGAGCAACAGCACACGAGATGGCTCACCACTTTTGGTCACCTGATGTTAGATTTGAATGGGACAGTAAGTATTATTTAATTTAAAAAAAAAATTCTAAAAACCTGTTTTTGTGATATAGTCCAGCATGGGACGTCTAGCTTTATACCCAGGTATGTAAATGCCTTGCATTAACTCGCCAGGCCAACATACAGGCAATTAAAACATCTAATAATTACTTAAATACGTAATACTAGAAGGAAACGTTGCTACCTGGCATTTAATTGCAATTCTCAAAACCCTCCATCACACGCACTGCTACCGTCATTTTCTTGCCTGGCGAATCAGCTGTAAATATGCACAAGGAAAGCTCTTCTAATTTGTGTTGTAATAGCTGAAATACTAAGTGCCACGAGGATTTTATATTTGGTATTTATACTTCTTAGCACGGTGAGGAAATCGAATGACTTTTATTTTGTTTATGTCTCTCAGATATTGTGTTTGGGGCAAATTTTTATACGGTCTGGATGGCGACCACGCACGCTCATCTTCTAACTAGGAAAACAGTAGATCTTTAGTGACTGATATCCTCTGCTTTCAAGTCACTTAGTGAATGATGCTTTTTATCCTTCCGGGCTCTTCTTCACTGAAAGAATATACTGTATCTACTGTATAAATATAAATTTTATCTTTCGGTGATCCAGTAAGAAAATCTGCCTGTAAGTATCTCTCCCCAGCTATTTTGACGTCAGGTGATGGTCAGTCAATCAGTCACAATTTAACGGCATGATTATAGTTACCAAAGTAATTAGAGAGAAACTACATATACAGTACAGTCGGCCCTTAACATACGCGGGGGTTACGTAACAGAGATACCCATGGATGATAAAAATCTGCGTATATGTGCTGCCCCCCCCCAAAAAAAAAAACCTGGTCCCCCATGTCCTTATTTACCGTATATACCTGTGTGTAGTTCAAGTTTTTAAGACCAAATTATTTGGCAAAAAATTGGGGGTCGACCTCTAAACGGGTAATAGTTTCGTTAGGTTGAAAAATATTTACCAGTAACTACCAGTAAACAATGGAAACGATGCACCAACGCACCACCAGCTGTGAGTGTCGGTACAGTTGCCAGGGCACATCTCTTGCGTCATCATTGCAAGCCCAAAGTAGCCAAATCCATGGTATGGTAGCACAGGACGATGTAAAAACAAAGTATTCATTTTTTAAAGTTTATTTATAGATACTGTACATAAATTTTTGTTCATTACATTTGAAACATCAATCTTTGTTAATTAAATTTGAAACAAAAGAAAACTACGATACCGTATTTTCATTAAAATATTACATCACAAGTATATTTTACCTTAACTGTGACTGAATGAATATAAGTATTCTCAGAAATAAATATGGAAATATAATATTTTTGCTGGAATGACGTACATATTACAGAGGAAAGACGAAAACAATGACTTTCGCTTTCTTTCGTTATTCAAAAGATTTTACCGTAATCGCTTTTCGAATGGTTTTCAATTAAAAAACTGTTGTACTCGTACTGTATAACAATAATATTCTATTCTATCATTAGCCTTATAATCCCACAACTGAAAACCATTCGAAAAGTGATTACGGTAACATCTTTTGAACGAAAGAAAGAGAAAGTCATTGCTTTCGTCACAATATTATCCCACTTTCCACTGTAATACGTACATCATTTCAGCAAAAATATTACATTTCCATGTTCTCAGAAATAAATGGTAGTTTTGTTGAAACGTAATGTACAATACTTAATATTAAAATGCAAAAATAGCTATAAAAACAATTAATACACCCGTAATGTACTGGCTGGCATCTCCACTCGTCCCTGCTCCCGCTTCCAAGGTCACCACTCCTCCCAACTCGCTCCCTCCGCTCCCTCCTCACCGTCACTACTGCCGACAACGAACACAAATGTTTTGTGAATAACTGCACCTCCACTTCCTATGTACAGTACTGAACTATACTGTGCTGTGCATTTTTACAAAGAATAAACATGGCAAGAAAAGCTATTAAAAAAAAAGAGATAAAAATTTCACTTTACTGTACAGTACCAATCCTCGGCGACAGGACGGGGGTCATCGGGCTCATCGTCACTCAATTCCGTAACGGGTGGTGAAGTGGGGGCGACTGTGGATTCAGCTGCTTCCTCACTGCCGCCAGTGATTGATGGTGTTAAATCTCTTCTTCGGTGATCAAAGAACATGGTGATGGGGAGTTGTCGTCTCTTTCTTTCATTTCTTCCATGATGTTTTTGTATGGAGCGAAAACGTCATCCATCCCTCGCATGAATTTCAGGGCACGCACCATGGAGGGGTCCATACTATAGGCCAGGTTTTTCAGTGCCTCAATATTCCTGGTCATCTCCCCCCAACTTCCCCAACGTTATTTCTTGGTGCTCTTCCTCATCCTCTTTCCCTTTCGCTTCCTCTTCCTTGCCTGAGTCTACTAACTCCTGTAGATCCTCCTCGGTCAGCTCAGTGTCGTGCTCTTCAATTAGCTCCCTAATCTCGTCCTCTGCCATGTCCCGGAAGCCTTCAGCAGCCACTTTCCTTGACAGTGCCAGGGTCTTTCTGAATATTTTTATTAAAATCCATCAAAATCATTTTCCTTGTCATCGTCTTAAGCACCAAACATCTCCTCCCAGTCTTTTCCTTGAACAGGGCTAGAGGGTACGTGTTTTTCGAATCGTTTTCAATTAAAAAAATGTTACAGCACATGTATATTTTACCTAAACTGTGCCTGAATGAATATATTCTCAGAAATAAATAGTAGTTTTGCTGAAACGTGATGTATTTCAATGTAAAATAGTTTTCGGTTAAAATACTGTTATATTACAATGATATTATATTCATACTGTGCTTGATATACTACATTCACGGAAATGTAATATATTTTTGCTGAAATGACGTACGTATTAGTGGAAAGTGGGATAAAATCGTGACGAAAACAATGACTTTCGCTTTCTTTCGTTCAAAAGATGTTACCGTAATCGCTTTTCGAATGGTTTTCAGTTAAAAAAAACTGTTGCATCACAAGTGAATTAGGATAGGATATTATTGTAATACAACAGTTTTTTAACTGAAAACCATTCGAAAAGCGATTACGGTAACATCTTTTGAAAGAAAGAAAGCGAGTCATTGCTTTCGGCACTTTCCACTGTAATACGTACATCATTTCAGCAAAATATTACATTTCCATGTTCTCAGAAATAAATAGTAGTTTTTCTGAAACGTAATGCATTTCAATGTAAATTAGGATAAACTACATGAAAACAAAAGATTTTACCTAACCTTCCGATGTTCAAGATATGTTACTCGGTTTTTTAGTAGTTTTCGGTTAAAATACTCTTATATTAGTGATATTCTATTCATACTGTGCTTGATATAATACATTCACAGAAATGTAATATTTTTGCAACTACAATGCTGATGTCAACACAAGCGTGGTTACAGCGAGACTAACTGAGTGAGGGAGAGCTATGCGTGTGTGTGTGAGGTTGCGGGACCGGGCGGTGTCCCGTGTTCGGTGTCGCGCGAGTTGAATGGCGCGCGATTTGAATGTACTTCAATTACAGTTTTACCCCGCCTAACGCGGTTTCACTTAACGCGTTTTCGCATATACGCGGTGCCTTGCCAAAGCTGAACTTTCACTTAACGCGGATTTTTTCCACATATACGCGGTGAGTGTCCGAGACGCTATTTTTAGATTTGCCCCACCCGCCACCCTGCCTGACTGCCTGTTTTAGCTCATAAAATTCATACAAATTACCAGGCCAGAATATAATTTACATTGCTGGAATTCTTATAATTTGGTGATCATTTTGAATATAAACATCATATATTTTGCTTTAAACTTACAATTTTTAGATAAAAATTTTTCTCTAGGTAACTATGGTATCTTTTGTCCAAAATATATGACATTTATATTCAAAATATTCCTGGTCTTACAAGGAATCCAGCAATGTCAATTATATTATCCTAACTTTAGTTTGAGGTATTATTTATTAAAATTTAGTGGTTATCCCACACATCTCCTTGGGACGGTTGGTGGGGGGTGGGGGGGAGGGAGGGACCGACCGACCGACCATCTGTTACCCTGTGAAGAATTATTATTTTTTTTTATTAACTGAAGATATTTGTTTTAGCTCATAAAATTCATACAAATTACCCGGTCAGAATATAATTTACATTGCTGGAATTCTTATAATTTGGTGATCATTTTGAATATAAACATCATATATTTTGCTTTAAACTTACAATTTTTAGATAAAATTTTTTCTCTAGGTAACTATGGTATCTTTTGTGCAAAATATATGACATTTATATTCAAAATATTCCTGGTCTTACAAGGAATCCAGCAATGTCAATTATATTATCCTAACTTTAATCTGAGGTATTATTTAATACTAAATGTTAAAAACCCTGGAAGGGAGGATTGGTGGGGGGTGGGGGGGAGGGTTGGGACTGACCGCGCGGTTGGAAGAGGGGGGGAGGCAAGGTGGGGTACTTTGATTGACAGATAGTGTTGTGAAGATTATTTTTTTTTTTATTAACTGAAGATATTTGTTTTAGCTCATAAAATTCATACAAATTACCCGGTCAGAATATAATTTACATTGCTGGAATTCTTATAATTTGGTGATCATTTTGAATATAAACATCATATATTTTGCTTTAAACTTACAATTTTTAGATAAAAATTTTCTCTAGGTAACTATGGTATCTTTTGTCCAAATATATGACATTTATATTCAAAATATTCCTGGTCTTACAAGGAATCCAGCAATGTCAATTATATTTTCCTAACTTTAGTTTGAGGTTATATCTCCTTAAAATTTGGGAGGTGGTTTTTCCCCAAGCGTGTAGTGTGAGAGGGGGAGGGAGTTGAGTCCATTATTTGAATGGACATTAACTTGGCGACTGTATTTCTCTATTTCTCTTAAGTATTAATTGTGTGCATGTACCATCATAAAATTAAGATGTTATTTTTACTACAACATAGGTATGTGCCTTCAAAAAGTGGAGTTTGGGGGTCGGGCCGGTTTCTATTGGAATTAATCCCATATGTTCTGTTGTTCACTTAACGCGGATTTCACTTAACGCGGGACCCTCTGGGTTCAATTGACCGCGTTAAGTGGGGTACAACTGTACTTCAATGTACAGAATATTCCTCCGGCGGGGCAATCCGCGTATTTGCAAATCCGTGTATTATAAACCCGCGTATGTTAAGGGCCGACTGTACTATACTATTTAAATAATTTTGCTATCCTTCAGTTTTAAGAATGGAGGAAAGGTTAAACAAAAATTATGCTTATATTATCTTCGGTGTTTGGCAAATTGAATAAATTTAACAGACACCTGTCTGCACCAGCTGTTTCTTTAAAAATTATGAATCGATGATTTTCTGCAAATATTTATGGAGGACATAGTAATCCATGTATTCTATGTCAGTCATAGTATGCAAGCAACACAATAAGGAGGATAGAAATGTATTAGCATGCTGGGATAGTTAAAAGATCGATGGTATATTTCTGGTCAAATATTGTTAGCTATTATGCTCCTTTAAATGTTGCTGCGTATGTAATTTGCAATGTAAATTTATGATAGTGAGTTGTTATATTTACAACCTTCCTTTCCTTTTTCAGCTAGTATTGAACAAATGACAGTTCTGGACAGGATATCGGATGATACACTGATTTTCCTGCAGCTACATAAGAGAGTCTGGCCAACAGCACAGCGTGATGCTCTCTTCTGGTCACACATACGACAGATACCCTCCACGGATCCGGCCAATGGAAATGCTCATGACACGTGGATCGTTTGTAACCAATCCACAGAACACCCAGATGCTCCAGTAAGTATTGATCTACTAATATGTGGGAAAAGGGATGTGAATGTAGTGTGTATTGTAGACAGAATAGATGGAAAATATCTTGTGTAATTGATAGGAGGTAATCAAAGACTTGATACTTGTCAGTCATAGTGAAGTAATACGATTAATTCTTTGTGAGCAACAAGACATTATTGTACACTCCATGCTCTTTTGTCGAGTAGTAGTTCAATAAAGTACTGGACAGCTGAAATTGCAGAGAGACTTTGTCAGGTCTCAGTTGGCAGATTATTATAATATTGGATCAGTGCAAAAAAAAGTACTTAGAATGAAGCTAAAACATAGTCAGTGTCAAATATCAAGGAGGGCCACTTTAAAAATATTAATGACTACAATTACTTTGTCTAAATGTATATTTTTTGTAATTTTCAAATCTGGAAATTCTTGTTGTATACAAATACCTTTTTTTTTTCCTCAACACCAGTACCCATGATGCTATTTGCCTGTCTGTTTTTGGTGCTTTGTTTGATTAACAGAGACATTACTGAGCAGTATGTGATTTGAGTGAGTGAACTAGTGAGCTCTGCCATGGTTTGACCCTTTAAATTCAGGCATAGTTTAATGATGTTTTTTGTTAGAGGAATTGGGAATTTGAAGATTTATAAAACATGTTAGAACTTCTCAAGGTCACACATCTCTGAAACTGACAGTTTGGTGAATATGTGAATTTGGGAAACTAATGAATGACTTATAATTATAACATGGGTGCAGTGGACCTTGGGATCACACACCTAAAATATCAGATACATGCAATATTTATGTGTGGATCTGAAGACCATAAACACAACTTGTCACATACATAATCTAAGATACCAATTACAATTTGGATATGGAAGTGAATGTAAAAATAATAAAAATTTACATTCATCCATGGTGCAGGACAGTAATAAAAGTAAATATAAACCAAAGACAAGGTACAGACTTGCACTTACAGTACATGTTATACATTTAGATTTACGTATATACCAATTTAAAAAAAAACCATGAGGCATAAATTCACTAATTATACCACAGGCTTTAACACCTCTCATAATACATTGACATTCCCGTTAGCTGGAACAGTTGATGCAGGGCACTTCCGGGGATGAGAGATTTTCGGATAACCAGATGACTTTCTCAAACCTGGAAAAATTCCTTATCCCCTGAACCTTTTCCGGTTACTGGGAAAAGTTTCCGAGTGTCTAAAATATGCATCTTGCACAGACAGATACTAGCCCAATTTCCCAGAATGTTTCTGGGTATTGATGTTTTCCTCGAGTCTAAATTACTGGAATCCGTAAATACAGTTCTAATTAAGTTAGAAACTTCATTTCTTTACTATAGTAATCTAGAATAGTTTATCTAAGAGCTTGGTGATATAAATATATTTAAAAATTAAAAATCTCGAGGATATGGGCATGAATGAAGCTGTGTGTTACAGCAAAGACAGTTATTTTCCACTCCCATGGAGCTGTGGGGGATTAGTGGGTCTCCTGGACCTGACCTGACCTGACACAATGTCAGGTGGAGGTAGGATGGGGGATTAGTGGTCTCATAGTATTACTGACCTGATGGAATGTCAGGTTACCCTTTCATGGGTGGAGGATTAGTGGGTATCATGGCCTGTAGATGTCTTGAATAAACACAAAACCTAAAGTATTTTTAGAGAGATTGTGGTAAGTACAGGTGCAGATATAAGTATAAACGAGCAAAGTTGTATCCCTTCAACTTTACTTTACATGACATTTTAAAATATGGAGTGAGAAAACAGAAAGGTGTGGGTGATTAGAGAGTTGGAGTGGAAATGAGTGTTGCCAAGCGCTTCTCAACAGCTTGTAGCGTACTGTATGTGGCCAGTTGTCAATTCTCTTTGTATGGCCACACAAATGTACGTACATGTAGATATCTCACACTCAGGAATGAGGTAGGACAGAAACTCGCAATGCGCTTTCTGTATATATATTATTGTACAGCGCAGTGCTTAGGAGTGACTAGGTGAGGAGAAACTTGCTCAGAGGTCCTGTAGGGCGAGGAGGTTTCTGAGGAAGCTGAGTGGTGAGGAGCTGTGAGAGATGTTGCTGGTCCAGTAGCCGAGTGTAGAATGCTCTCCCTGTCCAGGCATGGCCGTATTTATACAATTTACGAGGATCAGGATTTGGGGTGAGCGTAGCGAGAGGGCCAATCACAGAGGAGGAGGCCAGGCACTCTGGTCCTAGCGTTGCTACGTGTGCGTCCGCACTGGGGAGTAGGTCTACCGGCACGGCTGGCTGTACGCTGATTGGCTGGTAGGCGCGCAGGGGCTCAGTCGTCCTTTGTAGGGGATGGAGTCCACTACAACCTCACCACCTGACTCCTGAACAAACTCTTCATCAACTTCATCAAATCCTACAGTGTGCTTGGCAAGCTCAAAACAAACAAACACACACACACACACACACACACACACACACACACATTATTAGTATTGTGTGCACATGTATGTGATACATGTGCACACAGCACACACACACAGTACACACACACACAGCACACACACACACACACACACACACACACACAGTACACACACACACACACAAACACACACACACACACACACACACACACAAACACACAAACACACAGACATACACACACAGACACACACAGACACACACACACACACACACACACACACACACACACACACACACACACACACACACACACACACACACAAGACAAACACACACACACACAGACACACACACACACACACACACACACACACACTCAAACACTCAAGTCCCTTGGAGTTCCTGCGTCCGAGCTCCTCAGTGTTTACTCAACATTCATTCTTCCCAAGCTCACCTATGCCTCCCCTACCTGGAGTTCCTCCCTAAATGCCACACAACGTAAACACCTAGAAAAAGTGCAAAAGAGGGCATGCAAGATTATTCTCTCCACTTCCTACTCCACATATCAAGAAGCGCTCGACACACTGACCCTCTCGGCTCTCTCTGACCATCACCACGACTTCATCTGCAAGTTTGGTGAGAAACTTCTGCACCGTCCTCAACACCGGCTCCTACTTCCACCCGAGATCCCTCGTCCAAGAATTGCTGTTCAACACCACAACCGCATCCAGCCCATACAAGCAGGAACTGATAGCGAAAAGAACAGCCCAGTCCCAACAATTGTAAACATTATCAATAACTTGTAATCAACCAGTGTATTCACTCCCAGTCAATCTTACCTTTTTGCACTGTGTAATCGTTCATAGGAGCGATTTTGGTTTGTGGAGGACTATAAGACCCTTGTCGTTGACGCGATGAGCATAATTCGGTCAAAACCTGTTGAATACAATTCACATATAACAACTGATGGTACATCAGGACACAGTTTGAATAATATGATCAATATACAGTACATAATTACACTTATTAAAGTTATTTAGAGTTCTCAGAGAATTCAACAGTTCACAGTCACACTCACATTTTGGGGTCTAGGACTAGGCCAAGGAGAACAAATATAATGTCCTGCAGGAAAATGTTGTGGGCGAGAATCAAGATGTTGCCTTTACAGTAGAAGGCAATAGACTGTCCCTCAGGCAGTCACACAGCTGCTACCAGCTCTATCTCGCTTAGTAAGCTATTCTGAGTTGTAAACAGTTTCTTCACTTAACATGTGGCTGGCACGCACAATTTGTGCGTGGCGATAACACTCCCCCTGTCGGGCTTCACACGAAATTACGGTCTACCATTAGAGTCACTCTACGACCCCTTCCAACAGGCAGAGTCTCGTCGCTGGGTTTATTTACACTGAGTCCTTTGTCTTCACTTTAACACTTCGCACTAGGCCATCTGCGCTCGGTAGTGCCTCCAGTACTCTCTCTAGCATCCACTGACTCCTGGGGAAGGGTTGTCCAGAGATGATGACGATATCCCCAGCGTGGAGGTTACGGCGAGTTTTGAAGAATCTTTGTCACTGACGTAGTGTCGGGAGATATTTCTTTACCCACCTCTTCCAAAATTGGTCCATGATGAATTGGGCATGCTTCCATTTTCTGGCAGGTCGGCTTGGCGTTGGTGGGTAGGTCTCCAGTTGCTTCTCCGACAAGTCAGACACGTACGTATTGTGCGGTCGAGTAATTTGCGGCACCTAGGTATCCAGTATGTCCCACGTATTATGGCAAGAGTTTGTTCTCGTCCTGAGTGTCCAGCTCTAGTCGAGTGTACCTCTCTCACCATGAGCCCCGTGATCCTGTTGTCCCTCGGCAACAGTATGGGATTCTTCTGGTCTGGGTGGAGAGCAGCATATTTCAGTCGGCCGCCTACTCTGAGTCTAGACGAGGTTCCAGTCGACTCATGTCGCTACCTCCCACGAGTGTTCCCTGTTGTAACATTCCGAGTTCTCGAGGGAATCCTTTCTTTTACATAAATCTTAAGACGACTAACTTCGCATCTTCCAATTTGTTGACCTTGAGTCGATGTTTTCGGTGATGTTTGTTCTTTCGCTTCCCCAGCCGCCATTTTATAAAACCTTCTAATCCATACTACGCTATTCAGAAGTCGATGCCACGAGGAATACCTGGCCCATAGCTTATCGAGTGTAAGGGCGGAAACGATTTTCCTGCTCGTTACCGCTGCTTACTCGCTTGTTTGCTGGCGCGACCCCCACTTGGGGGGGGGGGGGTGTGGATGGAGGTAATAACGTCGCTGTTACCAGTGTCACCGGGGCAGTTCCTTCTCAGCCTCAATGCAGTCACTACCTCCCCCGCTGTTTGTCAAATTCTGGCTGTGATCTCATCAAAGGCTCGGGACTCATGGGCTGTGTCCCCAGACCTTCACCCATCAACTATCAATCCTCTGTACCCCATACCATGACCGTCAGTTCATCTCCTCCGTCTGTGCCCTGGTGTTCTCCTGCCATATCAAGACATCGGCCGCTGTCGCTCAAGTGAGGACCATTCCCCTGAGAGTGGATCAATATGTTCCAGAACCTTC